AACAGGCTTGCTCGGGAAGTGGTGGGCTCTCCTTCTTGGGAGGTTTTCAAGCAGAGGCCAGATGGCCATCTGACAGCAATGCAGATTCTGTGAACGTAAGCAGATCACGAGAGCGAGGGCAGGAAAGGTTGCCTCAGTGCTTAGTTCTTGTGGCCCTTTTTCACACACCCAGGGAAATGCTGATTGCTACTTTGGGGCAGGAAGCAATCTTGGAGGTTTTTTTCACCTTCTGGGCATGGAACAGGGGTCACTGTGGGTATTTGTGAATTTCCTGCCTTGTGCAGGGGGTTGGACTAGATGACCCTGGAGGTCCCTTCCAACTCTATGATTCTATGATTCTCAGCCAATTCCAGATGATGCTCAAAGAGGCCTAGCCTCATTTAAGAGTAAATTCTTATTTATTTATTTATTTTTATTTATTTATACCCCGCCCTCCCCGCACGCGGGCTCAGGGCGGCTTACAATATACGGGTGCAATACAGCACCATAATTCCACAATAAAGGCACACAGTGCAATAAAAACGCAATAAAACATTTAAAACAATTTAATACAGTGGGCAGCGCCCAAGGATCCTGCGTGACAGACAACCTCTCTCCCTATTGCACCTGCCCTTGGGTCAAGAGGGAGGATGGTGTGGCCCCCCGATGTTCCTTGGCCACTCAGCCTCATCCAGCGGTGCTGCTGTTCTGGCCCTTGTTGGTGGTAGTGGTGGTAGTGGCCTGGCGGAAGAGCTCCATCTTGCAGGCCCTGCAGAACTGTAACAGGTCCCACAGGGCCCTGAACTCCTCCGGGAGCTCGTTCCACCAGATAGGAGCCGCCACCGAAAAGGACCTGGCCCTTGTGGCAGCAAGCCTGGCCTCTTTAGGGCCCGGGGTCGCAAGGCGATGTTGCGACCCCGACCGAAGTGCTCTCTGGGACCTATGTGGGGAAATTCTGGAACAGTTTTCACTCAGAGGATATGGGGAAATGACGAAGATGTTTTAACCCCACTGAACAGGATGTGTGCTCCTTTGTTTTGGTCGTGATTGTGTTTTTTGCTGTGGACTTTTTGCTTTGTTTCCTGCTTGGATGTGTCCCCTCTTGCATTAGACTTCGAGCCTCACACCCTTTCTTTTGTTTTTTCCCAGGAAGGGCAAGTTTTGGAATGTTCCCTTATCAACAGTATTCGCTTTGGAGCAGTCCCAAAGGTACTTCTGCAGTTCATTTTGCAGTATTGTTTGGAACACTAAAAGGGTTGATTAGATGCTGGAACTGGCAAAGGAGATCCGAATTTTTTGTTTAAAGTCGAGCATATGTGAATCTTGCAGAATAAAGGCCATGGCACAGAAAGTTTAAGGACAGGGATGCCATCAGATGACCCGCCCCTTGCTTTGAAAATGGCCGTTTCAATTTTGCTTGTGGGGATTGCACTCACAAGCGTTAATTCTTGAACTGTTTACTTGCACCCCCTTTTTACAAAAGTACATTTTCAAGGTTATTTTTGCCTCTCTTGTGTATTAATTGCATTGGATATCAAAAATGTCTAAAAAAAGTAGTTTTTCAAAAAGTCTGTAAAAGAAAGAAGTGGATTGGGGACACCTGCTACAAATACAGGCCAGGATCCAGGGAGGCGCAAGAGGGAACATAACCAGACGTAGCCCAGTTCCACTTGTGCAAGGTCTTGAGCAACACTTATATCCTGAATTAAACGTGTTGAGTATTAATACTGTCATCTCAGTCCTCTGGAATATCAGGATTCTGCCCTATGAAAAGAGCCTCACAGAATCACGGATCGTATTTAAACTGCGTCGCTCTGCTTTCATGGGCCAGCTTGTCTTACTCAGTGAGTAGAACAAATGTGGAGTCCAGTCAGGCCCCTTTAAGACCAACAAAGGTTTATTTAAGGCATGAGCTTTTGTGTGCCTGGCACCCTTTTTCGCCACATCCAGCCACACGGAATGGAACTCCCATCAGCCTGACAAAGAAACTCACAATAGGGTATTTCAGAAAGTGTGCCTTGCGCACGGAAGCTCACGCCTTGAATAAACCTTTGTTGGTCTTAAAGTTGCCCCGACTGGACTCTGCATTTGCTCCGCTGCTCCAGACCCACAACACGGCTGATGGCCGGGATATATTGATCAGTGAGTGGTCATGAAGGGCAGTTTTTCTGATGTATCGATCAAAATATTAAGGATAACTAAGGAGGCTTTCAGGTTGAACACATGAAAAGATGGCCTTGCCTTTCTGCTACATCTTTAGGAAAGAGCACAAGCCCCAGGAGCACCTTGAAGGCCAACAACATTTGTGGCGGGGTTATGAGCTTTTGTGAGTCACAAAATGAGCAGGGACTCACGAGAGCTCCTCCCCTGCCCCACATCGTGTTCTAGTCTCTCTGGTGCTCCTGGACTCCTGCTCTTTTCTCCTGCTGCTGCTACAGTGGGCAGACTTACCCACCTTGACCCCGGTTTAGCTCTGGAGGACTAACAAGGTGTGTCTTGTGTCTGACAGGACCCCAAGATATTAACCGCTCTTGAAGCTGTTGGCAAAACAGAAAGCGAGCTGGAAGGGCGTATCGTGTGCGTCTGCAGCGGCACGGATCTCGTGAACCTCAGCTTCACGTACATCATGGCGGAGAGCACAGAGGAAGCCAAGGTACTGCGCCGTTCAGCACGACTCCTTGGGCTTGCAGCGCACTGTTCCGTTATATAAATCCCTCGTGCTCCGTGGAAGAATAGGAAATGGTCCGTGGAGTCATGCTGGATGGCAGCACTGCTGGGAGCCCCAGCAAGCCCAGTTGGTTTTGCCACATGTGTGTGCCAGGGCAGGGCTTCTTAAGGGCTTGGGTGTTTCCCCCGAGTGGGAAGAGGCCTGAATGGCAGCCTAGGAAGCGTGTAGATGTGCGATAAAATTAAATTACAGCGAGCGAGAGAGAAAGAGACGTTATCTGGAACTCTTCAGAGCTGGTCTGCTGGAAAGACTGCTAGAACTTTGCTTTCATCTGAATAAAGAAAGTTGAAAGAATAACGCTGTAAGGTCGACTCCCCTCCTCCAAAGCATGTGTTTCTGTAGTTACCCACTGCACTCCACGGAGCCTGAATGGGGAAATAAATCATCTGACGTTTCACATCCTGCCAAGAAATTCTCAGAACGCTAAATATTGTGGGCCTGTGACTTCAAGGGCGCCAGAGTGCCTGAGGCTGCCCCAGGAGCCCCCGCGGGTCTGCTCAGCGCAGTGTATCGCCTTCCTCTCTAACTGGGTGGGTGGGGGTCTCCAAGGCCTCCCCCAGCATCCTTCTGGAGACCTTGTTTGCTGGAGAGGCTAAGAGCTGAACAGGTGACCTTGAATAGGGATGAGTAGCAAGTGTCCTTGCTGTCGATAGATCCTCTTCGCTTTGCTTTGCTTTGTGTAGTGTTGTTTTACTTCCTGTCATGCATCCGTCCTGAAAATAGCCATGTTTAGGGCAAAGAAGCTTTTGCCTGTGGAATCCCTGGGCTATTATTTTTGGCTTAATGACAGCCAAAAGAGAATCATAATGGTGCTTTTCGATAAATACTTTATCTCTCATAGGAGAGTCTGTGCTGCTGTGGCGTGTGCAGTTTGGTTTTCAGAAGCTATGATACCCACAGCAGTTCCAGGGTTTCCTTCAAAGGGGTGTCTGGATGTATTTTGTGGTAGACAAAGCGGAAAACCGGACAGTCATAGGAATGTCAAGCTACTAGTGGGACGGGTTGGGGCTAATAAGTTGAAGGTACATCCAGACAGGACAGAAATTGTATTGGTGGGTCGATAAGATTTCCAGACGTCAGAGATGGTGGACAAGTGATGCTGGGTGGTGTCAAAATCATGTTAACAGCTGGGTGGTGTTGTAGGATCTCATCTTCCTCGTGGAGGCATAAGTGGAATCCATAGCCCAGAGCGTAACCACTTTGGTGTCGTGGTTAAGTGCAGGCGGACTCTAATCTGGGGGAACCGGGTTTGATTCCCCACTCCTCCACTTGCACCTGGCTGGATGACCTTGGGCAAGTCGTAGTTCTGATAAGAGCTGTTCTTGAAAAAAATAGCAGTTTCTGTCAAGAGCTCTCTCAGCCCCGCCTACCTCCCAGGGGGTCTTCTGTTGTGGGGAGGGGGAAGGGAAAGGAGTTTGTAAGCCACTCTGAGACTCCTTTGGGTAGTGAAGAGCGGGGTATAAATCCAATCTCCTCCTCCCCCTCCTCCTCCTCCTCCTCTTCTTCAGTATGCCAGCCCCCCACCAAAATAAAGGATGACCACGCCACTTTTACCCAGGTTATACATGTCTTTGCAAGGACTTCGGAAAGGTCACCTGTTCCAGAATGCAGTGGGCAGGTAGATAACTGGGACTCATCACAGTGAACAACTTTACTTTCTATTTGCTTCGGGGCTGGTGCCGACGTTTAGAGCCCTGTGTAGTCTGGGGCCACAATAGCTGAACGTGCCGCTCAATTGAGTGTCCCTCCGTCTGGAAGTCAGGCAGGTGACTGCTGGAGATTTCTCTCTGGTTATGCCCTGGTTATGGAGGTCCCTCCCAAGTGACTTTCACCTGGCTCTGAATTTCACTGTGCCTGAACAGTCTGAGCAAGACCTCATGGGCAGCTTTTAAGAGATGGGAGGAGCTGTGATGCCGTGACGACCGTACCCACGGCAGATTATATGTTGCTCGAGTTCACATCCACTGGCGACAACACAAGGCCAACCTGAACTGAGTGAATGCCTGTTTTGGGGCTTTTCATACCCTGGCTGACTGCGCCCCCCAAATACCAAGGAAGGGCAGCCACAGAGTGTTTCCAAATAGTTGTTGCAGGTTGACCACCAGCTCCGTTTCGGTGTGGTTATGGGCATTAGTGTATGTGTGCATATCAATTTATATGGGGAATGATAATGTTCTCAAGAAGATGGTACTTCAGGGAAGGCAACCGAAGTGCAAATAGTTCATCAGGGAAAACACAAGCTTAGCTTAATGGGCAGGAGCATTTAATAGCATCTTCGAGTCAAAACATATCTGCAAAACAGCGATGAACATTTAATGGGAATAGCTCCGTACTCATTGATGGCAATATGCTATTGCAGTGGCTTGGTTAATACACAGTCTGCTGCGGAAGTGCTGGTGGTGGAATACTTCTGGTGGTCTGTTCCACTGGAAGAAATTAGCTAGGGTTTCTTTCTGATTTCAAAAGAAATTAGTCTTGAAGCGGTTCTGTTTGATAATTAGCACAGTAAAGGAAGCACATTGGAATATTGCACCACAGACACATGCAACGCTCCCTCTAAGCTGTGGAGTCTTGTGAGCAAAAATTCTACTTTGTGAGCTCCTGGCATTAAAGTTGTGAGCGAGGGATTTGGCTGCTGCATAAATTAGTCTGCTCTGGAGCCCTCCTTCCTGAGTGGAGACAAACGTGTGAGCTGGAGGCTAAAAAACTGTGAGCCAGCTCACACTCACTCAGCTGAGAGGGGACACTGCTCACATTTGTGTTTAGCTTCTAAGGTAAAGTTTGCTACAAAATTAGGGGAAAGGGTTATGTGGAAAGAAAACAACAACAGTCTAACTTATCTTTCTAGCTCTCTGTCGCTCTCTGACCCTAAGAAAGGAAAGGACATTTCCCCCCAAAGCTCCACCCCTTGTGCATGTGCTGAATAGCATGAACAATCTCCAATATGGGGATTAGCCAATAGTCAATCTTAAGGTCACCTCGTTAAGAATAAAACCCCTTTTTGGTGGGAAGATTCCATCTTAATGTTTATTATGTGTTATAAATAGCACTACAGATAAGATTAGAACCTCCTCAGGAAACAGGAAACCTCCTCAGGAAACAATCCATATGCAAAAGAACCTCCTCAGGAAAGCTCCTCCATTAGCATGTTCACAGCTCGGGGAACTCCTACAATATAATGACTCAGCCCTACCCCACCTTCCTGAGTAGATATCAATTACCTGCCTACCAGTTTTCTTCTCACCTTGACACGGAGAGTACTCCGTCTTTCTGTGTGTTATACCTCTGAGGATGCCGGTCACAGCTGCTGGCGAAACATAAGAACATAAGAGATGCCAATGTTGGATCAGGCCAAAGGCCCATTCAGTCCAACACTCTGTATCACACAGTGGCCAGAAATACCAGTGCCATCAGGAGGTCCACCAGTGGGGCCAGGACATTAGAAGCCCTCCCACTGTTGACCCCCCCAAGCACCAAGATGACAGAGCATCACTTGCCCCAGAGCCCCTATCTATACCTTGTGGCTAATAGCCACTGATGGACCTCTGCTCCATATGCTTATCTAATTCCCTTTTGAAGCCGTCCATGCTTGTAGCCGCCACCACTTCCTGTGGCAGTGAATTCCAAGTGTTAATCACTCTTTGGGTGAAGAAGTACTTCCTTTTATCCGTTCTAACCCGACCGCTCAGCAATTTCATGGAGTGCCCACGAGTTCTTGTATTGTGAGAAAGGTAGAAAAGTTGAACAATGAAAAAAGCTAATGGGAAGAAAATTGATTCATTTGAAATGTGGTGTTGGAGGAGAGTTTTTTGGACACCATGGACCACCAAAAAGACAGATAAGTTGGTTCTAGAGCAAATCATATCTGAATTCTCCTTAGAAGCTAAAATGACATAGAATGTTAGAGTTTTATCCCATGATTTTTGAGCTTGCTTAGGAGCCTTTGATGAGGAACTTTATCAAAAGCTTTCTGGAAGTCAAGGTAAACAATAACTATTGGATCCCCCTTGTCCACATGTTTGTTCACCCCCTCAAAGAACATTAACAGGTTAGTGAGACAAGATCTTCCCTTACAGAACCCGTGTTGAGTCTGCCTCAATAGGTTTTGTTCATCTATGTGCCTACTAATTCTTTCCTTAATAATGGTTTCCACCAATTTACCCGGTATCGACGTCAGACTGACTGGCCTGTAATTTCCCGGATCTCCTCTGGAACCCTTTTTAAAGATGGGAGTGACATTAGCTACCTTCCAGTCCTCAGGAATGAAGGCTGATTTTAAGGAGAGATTACATATTTTTGTCAGGAGATCCACAAGTTCACAATTGAGTTCTTTCAGAACTCTCGGATGTATGCCATCTGGGCCTGGTGATTTATCAGTTTTTAAGTTGTCTATCAGTTTTAGGACCTCCTCTCTCGTCACCTCAATCTGACTCAGGTCTTTCAACACCCCTCCCGAACTCAGCGTCGGGTCCTACAATGCCAAGACCACGGCCACACAGCCCGGAAAAATCTGCAACAGCTAATGAACTCTGGCCGTGAAAGCCTTCGACAACATATTTTGTTGAATTACTGGAATGTTGTTACCCGCTCAGAGCCCACTTGCAGGAAGGGCAGGCTATGAATACGAAAAATAAATAAATAATAAGATTCTACTCTACACCAAATTGGTTCTATGCTAAATTTGCTATCATTAGCTTACAAAAACTTCAGCTTTATTTGTTTGTTTGTTTGTTTGTTTGTTTATTGGCTTTATAGCCTGCCCTCCTCTGTACAACAGGGCTCAGGGCGGGTAATAGCAGTATCTGTAAAACAGTATCTATAGAACTAATTAAAACAATTTTTTAATAATAGTATTAACAAGAAACAGATGGCGGCTCAAAAGTGCACCACCTGGTGCCCCCTATCCAGGGCGGAGAGTAAAATAT